CATGTGCGCATGTGTGAGCGTGAGTGTGCGTATCTCCATGTGTTTTCCACAATCCTATATCAAGCAAGATGGTGTCATGGTGTAGTGAAACGTGGTGACAGCACTGACGCATGCTGATCGTTTGACACTCGCCTTCACTTACCCTCCATTACCCCTCACTATCCATCAACGATCACCGACAAGCGTGTACAAGGAGGGCGTGGTATCGCCGAGGATCAGTCAAGATCACCGGTCCCATACACCAGTTTTTTCACATTTCTTGTAGGTGCAGATGATTTTATGTGTGTGTGTGTGTGTGTGTGTGTGTGTGTGTGTGTGTGTGTGTGTGTGTGTGTGTGTGTGTGTGTGTGTGTGTGTGTGTGTGTGTGTGTGTGTGTGCAACATGTCGATTGATGGGATTTCAACTCGACTGTATGCACACTCACCTACTATCTTGATCCATACACACGAACCCCCCTCGACATACAATATCACACAACCTGTTGACAGCAAGTGTGTGCTGTACGAGAAGCCGCTGCTGGAGAGCGGGACGATGGGCACGGGCGCCAACGTCGACGTCATTGTGCCGCACACCATCAACTCATACAGCGACGGCGGCGACGCAGAAGCAGGTATGTGTGCTGTGTACACGTGCGTGTGTGCATTTGAGAAGCTTACACGGTCGTTTGCATCTATCCAGCCCCATCGTCTCACCGCCACTCAACATCCCTTCTTTCATCTTCTTTTTCTGTTCTCAGGTGGCGGCATCCCCCATGTGCAGGCTGCGCAACTTCCCGCACCTCATCGAGTGGGGCGCGGGCCAAGTTCACGGACCTGTTTGTGAGCCCTGCGTCGCAGCTGCAGCAGTTCTTGGAGGATCCTGAGGGATTCACCTTGGGGCTGGAGACGAAGATTGAGCAGCACGTGGGCGGCGAGCGGATTGGCGCCCTCGAACGCGGCGTGGACACGCTCAAGGCCATCAAGGACCTCGCCGCACAGGTGCTGGTGTTGTTGTTGTTGTTGAAGGTGGCAGCGTGTGGTAATTGTGTGGTAATTGTGTGATGGATGTGATGACACACCCTTTCCTGCTTATGAGGGTTAACATCTCCGTACCTTCACCACCACCGACACGTACTTTCTTTCAGCTGCAAGAGAAGCCGACGATGGAGACCTGTGTGTCGCTGGCGTGGTGCGACTTCCACGCGTTTTCCCGCGACGTCATTCTGGACCTCATTGCCACCTTCCCCGCAGACGCAAAGACCAAGAGTGGAGAGCCCTTCTGGTCAGGTGAGGACTCGCGCGCGCGTGTTTGTTTGTTTGTGTGTGTGCGTGTGTGTGTGTGCGTGTTGTTTGTTTGTGTTCGCTCTGGCAGCACCACCCACACCGCAACTGATCGTTTGCTCGCCTCGCCCCTCGCCCCTCGCCCGTCGTGTGTGCTGCCCATAAAGCCTACAAGATCTTCCCCGAGGTGCTCGAGTTTGATCCGCAGAATCCGCTGCACAAGGCGTTTCTGATTGCCGTCACCAACCTCGACGCACGTGTCTTCAAGGTGGGCTGGCTGTGGGGTGCCTTGTTTGCTTTGGGGTTAGGTGGTGGTGGGGGGTTGCTTTGGGGTGAGGTGGTGGTGGCGGTTGCGTGCGGTCGTTTTCTGCTGACGCCCCTGCCTCATCTGCGATGATGTTCAGGTGCACCCGACCAAGTACCCGAGTAAGGAGAACAAGCTCCACATCAAGCGGTGAGCCGCGATGGCATGGGCTTTGCTTGGAGCTTTTTGCAGCATTGAATGGCTACGACGCTTGTGACTCGACACACACAAACACACACATACACATGCACACACCCACCCACATGCACATGCACACACACACATGCGCACACACACACATACACACACAAATTCTCGTGCCGTTCCTCATGCTTGCGCATGATGTGCCTTGTTTTGGAGACAGATGTTGCGGCGTGGTTCATCAACAAGCGCAAGGTGTACCCTGTCAAGCCTGACCTTGACGACTCCAAGCTCCCGCCAATCGACATCCCCATCGTACGTGCCCAACGCGGTGCCACGAAGCAGGGTGAAGAGTGTCTGAATGTGTGTGCGTGTGTGTGCGTGTGTGTGTGCGTGTGAGTGTATGTGTGTTTGAGTTGGCAGCAGTTGCTGTGAGTCTCAACTGCACCCACTTGTGAATCCTCACACGCACACACACACACACACTCACTCACACACACATAACACACATAACACACATAACACACGAACACACAGAATGCGCCAGATCATGCAGACTGGCGGGACGCAGGTGAACGCCCTCATCCAGGCGAGCGCAAGGCAAGGAGCTCTGGCAAGATGCCCGAGGCCACGGGCCAAGGCGACGCGCCAACCGACAAGAGCATCAAGCGCCTGGCACAGGAGGCAGGCCTGGACACCAAGAAGAAGAAGCTGCTTGTGTTTGACGACGTCGCCCTGACAAACGAGGATGGCGACGTGTGTGTGTGTGTGTGTGTGTGCTACACGTACATCCTTAAGCTGTTGCTCTTCCCACTGCAACAGTTGTTCCTTTCTCTTCTGTTGGTGCTATGACCTTTCTTTCGTGTTCCGTCCACGTTGCGTGCGTTGGCTCAGTTCTTTGGCTCACACCATCGAGCACGTTCAGTGCAGCCACTCATCCATTCAACGACACTTCCCTCTCAACACAAACCACGAATATACATCGCACATCCATTTCAGCACCAGTCTTCCCAGGACATCAAGAACATCAAGCAGCCAAGCAGACACGCACTCCTACTCTCGTCTCTCTGAGGCCTCCTGGCAGCTGTCCTTCTGCTTCTTCTGAGCAGGGCGGCTACTCCTACGTCAACGCCAGTCCCGATGGCCGCCTGCTGGTGGTTGAGTCGTTTGTGTGGGACATGCACAGGCTGACATGCAAGCAGCGCGTGCCCATCACAGCAACCGACATGGTGTGGACCAAGGACGGCAAGCACCTCATCGGCCCCTCTTACTCCCCTACTCCCGCGTGAACATCTGCGGCCTCGGTGCACATGAGGCTGAACGCACAGTCATCTTCGGGGATCTTTCCTGGCGCTGAGCTTGCATGCGCCGCCGCGTCCGATGGCGTCATCGAGAGGTGGCAGAAGGGAGCCCTAGGAGTGCAAGCTGCACCGCGTGCCAGACCTCAAGTGCATGGCGGTCGTGCCGTGCCGTCAACTCCGACACACGCCGCTGCATTGCAGTCACGCCCACTCTGTACATCGCGGACAAC